ATGTATCCTCAGAAGGGGCAGCGTAATTTTGCCCCAAATTCCCTTAAACTGGGAACTGGGGAGGAAGAACGTCTCCTTCATGACCAAATACGGCCGACAGAGATGATGTAGTAATTGCTGGTGGGAATGACTTTGTTCAACGTAATGGCAGGTGGAATTTCAATAACAAGAGACTGGTTGATCCGACAAAGATTGAGTGTTGGTTGTTGTCAACTTTTCTGCACGTTGTAACATACAAGGACTGATCGATGATCTTATAAATTGAGGAAAAATGAAAAGAATTGTGGTGAAAGATCCATTTGATATTTTTGAAGAGTCCCCACAATTCAGAAGGGTTCACTGGTGCCGAGCATACTTGGTAGCGAAGACAAAACTCTGCAATCACGGTATCAAGCTCTCCGCTCAAAGAAAACACACCCAAAGTAAAGAGATATGTGTAAAAATGTGCAAAACCTTCACTGGGAAGGGTCACTCGCTCCGATAGATCGGGAGCAACAATATCTAAGTCATGACAACAACAATCTTCCTTTATAGTAGGAATATTGGAAGGGCGAGTTGAAGAAGGATACATACTGACAGCCCATGAACGAGGGTTAGCAGTAGGAGTTTTTCTTCGAAGTCTTTTGTGGTGTTAAGACTTCGGGGATGATGGAACCTACCATTGGAGGAGCAGAATCCTCAGCTTTGTTCTTTTTCTTTGAAGAGCCAGAGTGTTTGGAAGAAGAAGCCATTGAATAAGAAGAAAGAGAAAGATTTTTGGTTCACAAAAAATTAGAGAAAAGATGGAAAACAAAGATACAAGTTAGAAGTTTGAGAAATTATGAAGTGTATAGAAGAGGGTGATGCGTATAAGTAAAATTTTGGCTGCTAAATTCATGGCCATGATTACCTAAATAATCGACAAAGGTTGTGCTAAATTATGGGATGACGCGTGTTCGAGGTATTAAATGCAGAGAGAAGTGCGTCTAATCAATTGTCAGAAGCCTGCAAAGAGAATTATTGTAATTCCCGCCAAAAGGAGTATTTCTACCAACTTTCCGAAGATTGTGCCATCGAAAAGTAGGGGGACTATCTGTATAGGCAAAAATATGATATGACAGGTGGTCACATAGAGGAATGACATTTGGAACCCAAGACGGAGATGGACACCGAACGGAGCTATTCCGCTTGTCACCGGGAGAGAATGTTCATAAAGATGTATTAAATGCTTTGCGTCCAATAGCATTTAATAAAGAATATTCTGCAGTATTCTGAATGGTAGTCCGTTACACGGAATTTGACATTTATTTCCATCGTTGCACCTGCATCAATGACACTCATAATTGATATTAAAGGAGGGCACGATCCTAGGATCTTCTTCCCAAGACATAGCTATAAATAGAGAGCTTAGTTATCAGTGTAAAGGACATGAATTTTCTGGAAACATCATACTACATTCTAGACAAAGCTTAATATCATTTACTTTCTTGCTTTTTTATCCCATCATTACTGTGACTGGAAGTCTTGCTTCCAGAATCGTTATTTCTGCTATTGTATCTACATTTTGAGGCTAAGTATCGTATTATTCTTCAATTACTTTATTATTTTTGGATCAAATTAGTTTACTCTAAAAACCATGTATAAATTCAACTGTACCGTTTTACGGATAAACATTTAACATATTGACAAAACACATTTTCTGATTCTATTATAATAGTGGATATAGTTCAAATATCTATTTTAAAAGGAAGAATTGGGACTCGCCCCGGGGTAGAGCACTTGTAAAATGCCCCTGGGTTTATGTATGGGGCTTAGTTCTGTGAGACTTACGCCTCAGCCGTCGGGGCTTACGCTCCGGACATGCCCAATGCCTAGCGTACTAGGGCTCGCCTAATAGAACTTTATGCAATTATGTGTAGCTAACCTTATAAATCCTTAATTTTTATTAATAAATCATTGACTATTCAAAATTATCTTTTTTCTTAATCATTAATCATTAAGTTGAGAGCATTTTATGTCATAATTAAAATAAAAATTATTGCACGTTATTCACCAAGACTGCTATAAATTTTAAATAAATCTTTCGTTTAAAAGTATTTATTTAATAACTTTTATTATGTTTTTATTATATAATAGTTCATTTTTATAATTATTTTCCCAAATATTTTTTTTACGTTTACGAGATACAATACTTATTAATTTAATACCACAGTATTAGCTAGTAACTATTTAAAAATAATGAATTATCATGGTATAATATGGTGAATTATGTGCCACTTATTAACTTGTTGAAACTTAAAAATAAATGATACTAGAGAATCATATTTAAATTGTGAATTATATTTTTATATAAATTCTTTTCCAAATAGAAAGCATATTAAATAAAAGGAGTATTTTAAAAAAATATCAAATTATAATATCGAAATTATTTCAAGATTCATTACTCCTTAAGAGATATGTACATATAAAATTCTGCATCGAATACGTTACTTTTGATGTTTGAGTTGTAACAACGTTGCAGTTAATTTGCATATTATGATATATATCATAATTTTCGTATTATTCATAGTTGAATTATTACTTTATAAATATTTTAAATAGATTGTTTGTTATAATTTTGTGATTTTCATGTAATATTTATAATTATTTTTTATTTTATACTATCTTAAAATTCTTGAAATTAGTAAAATTTAAAGATCCGTGAGACTTACGCCCCATGTTTCAGGGCTTACGCCTCGCCTCATCAGAGGTAAAACGCCTCGCCTCACGCCCCCATCTTTTAAAATATTGGTTCAAATAGTTTGATGTGAAGAAATGAAATGAGTTTTGAAAATTTAATGTTATAATAAGTAAAGTTCCATAATAATACGTAATATCAATTCGAGGTTCGAGCTTATTAAATTCTAGTTCAAATTGTAATAGAACTATTGTCTTATTCTCTTGGAGACCTAAACAAATGATCAGCAGAACCTATAAATTGAGCTGTTTCTTCACGAATTTAGCCAGAAAATCGGCTTACATGGAACAGTTACAATAAGGCCATTCCTGCAGGCGTTTTCCTCGCGAATGAAAAATGAGAAGGTACTCCAAGAAAGAATGCTGGAGAATATGAACATGCTACTTTCGTGAATTCTCTCTGCTTTTTCTCCGCAATAACTTCTCCAGCAATTTAATCCATCATAAATTATTTATGTGGTGTTAAGTAAGTACTAGGTAAATTTTCAACAACATTAATTACTTGAAAGTGAGAGTTCTAGGTCCATAATTAAGATGATTATACAATTTATAAACAGCTTCGAAACTTCATAACCTTAAAACCGACATGAATTCCACATTTTAAGTCAGCTACTGTCGAGTATCAATACTTGTATGTATACACTGATAACACTGCACGAAACATTATTTTAAGAAAATCAAGTATAACGAGCATTGGACAAAATTTACAAATATATTTGTCTACCTAGATAGTTTCACACTTTCACTAAGGATTTAATCAGATCTGATGAATACATATTTCCCATAATTTAGATTCAGATATCTTAAAAAGATCTTGGCTTAGATCTTAATTAATGACGGATAAATCTAGTATATTGTTCTTTTTCTACATGGGCAAGCCCATAATTCCAGTTTTATCAGCGAAGTACTGTAAAAATAGCACGGGCTAACCAGTTTTTGAATTGGTCATTCAAAAATAGCCAGCGTTTGTAAAGTCATTAAAAAATAGCCACTATTTTGTTGCAACACGGAAAGTTCCAGCATAATATACTGGAGATCGGTGCACCTGTGTATGAACTTCCAGCATATTATGCTGGAACTCCAACATGCAGAAAGTTCCAGTATATTATGCTGGACCTGTATATTATATTGGAACTCCAGTATAATATACTGGAACTTATATTATACTGGAATTCCAGTATATTATATTGGAATTTCATTATATTACACTGAAGTATTTTTCGAATTTTGAACAGTATTTTCGTTCAGATTTATCTTTACATAAAAAGTGGCTAAATTTCGATTACTTTTAAAACTGTGACTATTTTTGAATGACCACTTGTAAATCTGGTTATTTTTGAATTTCTCTTCCCAAGTATTCTCTCCGGTCAACAATAAAGACCATTTTACCTTTGGCACACTCACTAAGAAAATACGAATTCTTAGAGCAAAAAAAATATTTACTAAATTAATCTTAATTAATTGTTATGTCGACACATTGAAATATATAAATAAGGGTAAATTTAGAAAAAATAAAATTAATTCATTTTTGATTTTGTAAATAGATACTTATAGCCTGTTTGACCAAGCTTATTTTTTGCCAAAAGTGCTTTTTTTTTTGCCAAAAGCACTTTTGGCCTCAATTTGAGGTGTTTGGCCAAGTTTCTGGGAGGAAAAAAGTGCTTTTGAGGAGAAGCAGAAGCAGTTTTGGAGAAGCAGAAAAAAGTAGCTTCTCTCCAAAAGTACTTTTTTGAGAAGCACTTTTGAAAAAAAAACACTTAGAAGCAATTTTTTAAAGCTTGGTCAAACACTAATTGCTACTCAGAAGTGCTTTTCAAACTAATTAGCCAAACACAAACTGTTCCTCGCCAAAAGTACTTTTGAGAAAAGCATTTTTGAAATAAAGCACTTCTCAAAATTAGCTGATTTTTACAACTTGGCCAAACGAGCTATTATTTTGGATTAAAATAAAAAGGTAAATTGGTCCCGACTATGTTTAATATCCCCTCTTCCATATAATCTGTTTTGAACTATATTAAATAGGTAGAAGTTAAAAACAAAAAAGTCATACTTTTATGGAGATGAGCAGAAACAACCAACAGAAAAATCACAGCGTCAGCTCCGGTGAAAAATCAAGCAGCATTTTTCCACTCCTCTCAGCAAAGCCATACAACGACAAACATCAAAACATTAAAACCACCACCTGGTATAAAAGCACAACCTTTGGACCCACAAGTCTTCGTAGGTGTCACTCTCTCCTTCTGCATGTCTACACTCACCGCCACATACATATTGTACACAACAACCGAACACTACACAATTCACACACCGATTCTCAGCTCCTCTTCTCTTTTCATCCCATACCATTTTTGAAAGTTGAGATTTTTCTTTGATGGGGTCCTTTAGTTTTGCAGTATGTGTTAGCTTAATGTTGCTGGTTATGGTGGTTGCTATTCCTTTTGAACCCAAAAATGGCAGAAGGATAGGGCGGCTGCACCGCTGGTGGGACCCCTTAATACGATCGCCGGTAGATCGTGATGATGAGGTGGAAGACAGCAATAGTGTTCGTTGGGCAGTTCTTGTTGCTGGTTCAAATGGATACGGAAATTATCGGCATCAGGTTAGCACTTTTTGCTTTCCCAGAACTTAAGCTTATTTTCACCAACTTTTTAGAAAGTAAGTTTTCACCATTTTGATAGGAAGAGTACTTATTCTGCATTTGTTGATTGTTGTAATATTAATCTAAAAATTTGAATTACTGTAGTCTGGTTTTAGTTTCAGAAGTTAGTCGAACTAATTCTAGGTGAAGCTAAGAGTGGAAAACGAATTAGGATGGGGCAGTTACTTGTCGCCATTTGTTCTGGGTTACTGATCGATGCTATTAAATGAATTGGTATATATTTGATCTGATGGAGCTGCAGTTCCATTTACAAATCAAGTAATTTTACTATTTGGCAACTTTTAGAATTGCTTTGCTTAGTGGTTTCGAAGCCATTTTGGGGTGAATGCAGGCAGATGTATGTCATGCTTACCAGATTTTGAAAAGAGGAGGATTGAAAGATGAGAACATAGTTGTATTCATGTATGATGACATTGCCAAAAGTGAGCTGAATCCAAGGCCTGGAGTCATAATCAATCATCCAAATGGCAGTGATGTCTATGCTGGTGTGCCAAAGGTAATATCTACATGTTATAACTAGTAGTTGTATCTGTTGCGGAAGCCAAATGTATATAGTGTGAATAAGTCACAACTACTATACCAAAAATTATGATAGCCACCAAATAATAAATAAGATAATAAAACAACAATAAAAGGAACACCAGAATTTACGAGATTCGGCTAATTTTGCCTAATCCTCGGACACAACCAATATTTTATTCCACTCCAAAAATACAAGTGAAATAATACTAAAGAGAGAAGATACAAATGCCTTAAACAGATGAGAAGGCAAATGAGAGGTGTGTTTAAATCCTAAACATTAAGCCTTCTTTTATAGGGGGAAAATCCCCCCAACCCTTCTTTTCCCACCGATGTGGGACAAAAGATTTGCCAAATTCAACAAATCTCCACCTTGGCAAAATTCCACATCTTCAATTTTCTCTCAATAACAAATTTTGGTTGTGTCTTCATCTTCAATCTTTAGTGTTCAACAATGTTGATCAAATCCAAACAATGTTGAAACTTGACCGCAGTCACCACCTTTGTCAGCATATCAGCAGGATTCTCCGTAGTATGAATTTTCTTCACCTTGACTCCACATTCTTCTATGATTTCTCGTACGAAATGATACCGAACATCAATATGCTTCGTCCTTGCATGA